GTGGTTCTTGTCCTGCTCGACCTAACCGCTGCCTTTGACACAATGAACCACAACATTTTACTATCACACTTACAGCACCAAGTGGTTATCTGTGGTACTGCACTGAGCTGGTTTGGGTCCTATCTGGCAGACAGAACTATGTGTGTCAACATAGCTGGTTCTGAATCCTCCACTGTTCCTCTGTGTTTTGCGGTTCCACAGGGCTCTATTTTAGGTCCCCTGCTCTTCTCCCTGTACCTACTTCTGTTGGGATCAATCCTCCGAAAGCATGGTATCTTTTTTCACTGTTATGCTGATGATAGTCAGATCTAGTGTATATGCCACTAAAAAAGAAAGATGCCCCCTCAGTTAGGCTGCTTCTGTTGTGTCTTGAAGACATCAAAGCCTGGATGTCTTTAAACTTCTTACATTTCAATGAAAAGAAAACAGAAGTGATGGTGTTTGGTCCTAGTGGCTCTTGTGAACCTTGCCCTGTTGATCTGGGCCTTCTGGCACCACATGTAGTAAAGAAAATGTTTCTAACTTGGGTTTTAAAATGGACAGTGATTTTAAATTAGATTCTCAGATTGGAGCGGTGGTCAAGGCCAGTTTTTATCACCTCAGATAGCTGGCTAAGGTAAAGTCCATCTTTACACAGCAGCAGCTGGAAACCATATTCCATGCCTTCATCAAATCTTGGCTGGATTACTGTAATGCTCTTTACCTTGGAGTCAGCCAGTCCTCCCTCCAACGCTTCCAGTTGGTCCAGAACGCTGCTGCTCGGCTTCTAACTGGAGTTCAAAAGAGGGAGCACATCTCCCCCACTTTGGCTTCACTCCACTGGCTTCCTGTTCATTTTGGAGTTCATTTTAAGATTCTTTTATTTGTTTTTAGAAGTTTAAATGGTCTTGCCCCACTTCTCTGAGCTGCTTCACCCATACTCTCCTGCTCTGTGCCTCAGATCAGCTGATCAGCTGCTCCTGGAGGTGCTGAGGTCCAAACGGAGGCTCAGAGGGGACAGAGCTTTTTCTGTTGCTGCTCCAAGACTGTGAAACAATCTCCCTCTTCCCATCAGACGAGCCCTGTCACTGTTCTTCACTGTCCATTTTTAAAACTTTTAAAAACACATTTTTACTCCCTGGCTTTTAGCACAGACCGAATTTGTTCTGAACTGTTTTTACTGTTTTTATTGTTTTTATTGGTCTTAATATTTTAACTGCTGTTTTATTTTTGTGTTTAAATGTTCTTGATTTTATAAGTGCAGCACTTTGTTGCAGCTGTTGTTGTTTTAAAGGGCTTTATAAATAAAATATTATTTTTATTATCAATTATTATTTATAATAATAATAATAAAACACTATAAAAATGTGTGTTACTTTATAGTAAAAAAAAGATTATTTTGATTTAGCAAGTTTTGCAGAAATTTAGGTTGTTTACAAATCAATTGAAAAAGTAATTAAGTAAATAAACTAAAATGAAAACATTAAAATCAATCAATATTGTTCCAGCATTACTTTTATGCCATTTCAATTTGTATGTGAACATTTAATTATATTTTCTTTAGAGTTCAATAGTCTAATGTCCTGAGGGATCTAACTGTTTCAGTCTATCTGTTCTGCGCCTCACACTGTGAAACCTCCTACCAAAGTTAAGAAGTGTGAATGTTCATGATGTGTGGAATCTCTAATGATATCATTTGTTCTGATCAGATAGCATTTGCATTTGATATTTGGAATGGAAAGAAGAAAAGTCCCAATATTTTTCTCTGCCGTACTCACCACTCTCTGAAGGATCTTCAGCTAAGCAGCTATAACAACATCAATCAACCTTTATTTATACAGGTAAATCCCATTGAGCCTCGAGGACTCATTTACAAGAGAGACCTGATTTCAACAAAGAAAGATGACAACAATGGACAACAGCAACAACAATAAGCAGTTATAAAAACTCATACTACAGTTTTTTTTTTTTTTTAACAAATAGGATGGCTAAAAGGAAAAAGGTAACAAAACAAAAAAAAAACAGCTAGATTCCAAGACAAATGTATAAAACTAAAAACAGGAACATGTCTGCATTGGTCCCTGCCAGGAGTCCAACAGATTCTTAAAGCCACTTAGAGAGGTCAAGATCGAGAGCTTCAAATCTTTTTGTAAGATATTCCAGGAGACAGGAGCGGAGTAGGAGAAGGCCCTTTTGCCTAGTTCAGTCCTCACTGAGGGAACACTGCAGGTAATAATGTCCTGAGAGCGCACTCCGTAGCTGCACTCACGCAGAGACATGTAGGAGGAGATGTATGAAGGCAGTAGACCAAGAAGTGATTTAAAGATGAAAATGTACCAGTGAGAGAGTCTGCGTGAAGTTAATGATGTCCAGTTAACCAATGAATACAGGGTGCAGTGGTGGGTACGATAATCACAGCCAGTTATGAATCTTAGTGCACCATGATAGACAGCATCCAACATCTGCAGGGTTCTTGTAGGAGCGTTCATGTAAATAATGTCACCAAAATCAATTGAGGGAAGGAAAGTCACAGATACAAGGCGTTTTCTAGCATTCAGGGTTAGACAGGATCTGTTTCTGAAAAAGAAACCCAGTTTAACTTTCAGTTTCTTTACCAAGTTTTCCACATGGAGCTTAAAAGAAAGATGTGAGTCGACCAAGATACCCAAATATTTATAGGAATCAACAAACTCAATGGGGACACCATTTGAGGATAAAATCGGAGGAAGAACTGCTGGGACCAACTTCCTATTTGAAAAAAGCATCCCTTTGGTTTTTTCGGCATTTCGGCATACTTTGTACATAACATTCACAGGTTGAACAACTGGGATATAAAGTTAGAGAGGCCAGACTGAGATGGTTTGGACATGTCCAGAGGAGGTACAGCGGGTGTATTGGTAGAAGGATGTTAGTGCAGCTGCCAGGAAAAAGACAAAGAGGAAGGCCAAAGAGAAGATATACTACATTGCCAAATGCTCACCCATCCAAATTATCGGAATCAGGTGTTCCAATCACTTTCATGACCACAGGTGTATAAAATGAAGCACCTAGACATGCAGACTGTTTTTACAAACATTTGTGAAAGAATGGGTTGCTCTCGGGAGCTCAGTGAATTCCAGCGTGGAACTGATAGGATGCCACCTATGTAACAAATCCAGTCGTAAAATTTCCTCGCTCCTAAATATTCCACAGTCAACTGTCAGCTGTGTTATAAGAAAATGGAAGTGTTTGGGAACGACAGCAACTCAGCCACAAAGTGGTAGGTCACGTAAACTGACGGAGCAGGGTCAGAGGATGCTGAAGTTCATAGTGCGAAGAGGTCGCCAACTTTCTACAGAGTCTATAACTACAGACCTCCAAACTTCATGTGGCCTTCAGATTAGCTCAAGAACAGTGCACAGAGAGCTTCATGGAATGGGTTTCCATGGTCGAGCAGTTGCATCCAAGCCATACATCACCAAGTGAAATGCAAAGCGTTGGATGCAGTGGTGTGAAGCATCCCGCCACTGGACTCTAGAGCAGTGGAGGTGTGTTCTCTGGAGTGATGAATCACGCTTCTCCATCTGGCAATCTGATGGATGAGTCTGGGTTTGGCAGTTGCCAGTAGAACAGTACTTGTCTGACTGCATTGTGTCAAGTGTAAAGTTTGGTGGAGGGGGATTAAGGTGTGGGGTTGTTTTTCCGGAGCTGGGCTTGGCCCCTTAGTTCCAGTGAATGGAACTCTGACTGCTTCAGCATACCAAGACATTTTGGACAATTCCATGCTCCCAACTTTGTGGGAACAGTTTGGAGCTGGCCTCTTCCTCTTCCAACATGACTGTGCACCAGTGCACAAAGCAAGGTCCATAAAGACATGGATGGCAGAGTCTGGTGGGGATGAACTTGACTGGCCTGCACTGAGTCCTGACCTCAACCCGATAGAACACCTTTGGGATGAATTAGCGTGGAGACTGAGAGCCAGGCCTTCTCGTCCAACATCAGTATATGTGACCTCACAAATGCGCTTCTGGAAGAATGGTCAAAAATCCCCATAAACACACTCCTAAACCTGTGGACAGCTTTCCCAGAAGAGCTGAAGCTGTTCTAGCTGCAAAGAGTGGACCATCGTCATATTGAACCCTATGGATTAGGAATGGGGTGTCACTTAATCTCATATGTGAGTCAAGGCAGGTGAGTGAATACTTTTGTCAATGTAGTGTATATGGATGCAGTTAGAGAGGACATGGAGGTAGTTGGAGTGAGGACAGAGTGAGATGGAGGATGACTTGAGTCATCCTCGATGTGACATACAAGTTACATACAGTGATCGCTGTAGCAACACCTGAAAAAGAAAAGTCAAAAGAAGATGAAAAAGAATAGGTTGAATTCAAGTTCTGAGAAAAAATCCTCCTTTTTTTTTTTTTTTTTTTACTAAAAGCATCAACGGAAATTCTACCTTGTTTCAAAATGTCTGTCATATGATGCATTTACCACTTTTTTCCTGTTTTATTTTCTAAATGCAGATTTAGTTAAAGTCGTTTTTTACATAAGATTTTTGTGAAGTTCAATGTGTGGTTTGTTAAATTGGACTTTGCACAAGTGAAGACGACATAAAGAGGAATTTAGATTCAAGTAAATTAGGAAGTCACCTTTTACGCAACAAGCGACATGTTGACATCTTACAATTAGCATACGATGTAAAAGTGGAAAGTTTTGCAGTGCCTCAGTTCTTCTTGTGACTGCTCTCACATCAATATGGCCGCTCCTCTCAGCATTCCCATCACTCTAACATTGATAACAGGTTGGTTGCATTGTTTTCATCATATTTAGGTACTTTGTTGCCTCTGTGACATTTATGTCTGTGGATATTAGTTTTCATTTTTCTTTTTTGTGCAAACAAGTGTTCTGATTTATGTTTTAGAAAAACGTCTACAAATGTGTAAAATGTAACAAAATGCACCTCATCAACCTTAACTGTAATACTGAAACAATGTGCTCTTTTCACAGGTGTTTACAGCCTATGTACGGTCAATGAAGTATCAATGAAGGCTGGAGCTTCAGTCTCTATCCCCTGGATTTACAGTCAACAATACAGAAACCATGTGAAATATTTATGTGAGGGAAATTATTGGTCTTCCTGCTCGTATACAGTTAAAACAAACTCACAAAGGGATTCAAATAAATATTCAATCTCTGATGATAAAAGTCAATCAATCTTCACTGTGACCATAAAACAGCTGACATCTCAAAACACTTATTACTGGTGTGCTGTGGAGATTGATGGCGGTGCCGATCATGGGTGTTATTTTCACCTGTCTGTTACCACAGGTAAGCAGCTTTTAATGCAGATTTTAAAGCTTTTTTTAATAAGACAAATATAAGTTTGTAATTTTTTTATTTTTTTTTTACAAGGTTAGCTTTTTGCTACTATATTGTTTGTAAGAGCTGTTACATTTTGTTAATTCTCACCGACATTAACTGGCTGTAGCAAAGCTGTGGATTTAATGCAGAGAGGATTATTCATTACTCATCATTATTCAGAGTATGGCTTCATGCAGGTCAGCGCTGAACTTTCTGATTATTGTGTCTGTTTGCTTGTACTTAACTTGTTGAGGCCATTTTCAATGTAAGAATGTCAGTTTTTATCAGGAAAATTATCCAAACGCTGATAAGTTCGGTCTTTAATTATGTGGATATATTATTTTTCCCATCAAGGTACACCCAGTCTGTATGTGGATAATCAGACAGTGACAGGATTGATTGGAAAAAATATCACTATAGATTGTCACTACACAACCCATGGACAGATGAAATGGTGTAAACTGAAAAGCAGCTGTGTGACTGAAGGATCCAGAATAATAGATGGAACCAGAGTAACCCTGAACAAGAGAGGTGATAACAGATTCACTGTGACTCTGAGTGAACTGAGTCCAGAGAGCAGTGGTTGGTATTACTGTGCCAAAGGAGACTTTCAGATGCCAGTACACCTAACTGTTACTGAAAAACCTAAAGGTAAGAGATTTCTGACTCTTTTTGTTCTTCAAATTATGAAGAACTGTGTGTATTAGCCCAAGTGACTTCAGGACAATCATTAGCTTGTAACCCTTCAATAAATCAGGTAGCATTAGCAGCTGTGTTACGTCAACTTTTATCTGAATGATCAAATAACAGTTTAAAAATTATATACATTAGGTCATTTACAAATGACTTTTTTAAGCTAATGTTTTTTTTTTTATTATTATTATTTGTTTTGCTTAAGTTGAAAAGGCCATACTTAAAGTTTTACCTTTGTTTAAAAGTATCACAACAAAAAAATAAATATTTTAGAATTATTCTATGACCGTTCATATTTTTTCACTGATAACTTTTTCTCCATGGAAATGCTCAAACAAAAACAAACTGCACTGGTTTTTGGTCAAATCAGTGCTTCTAACCTTGCTACTGGTATTGACAGTGTGTCAGTTTTTGCTAATCATGGGGTCTTATCCTACCTACAATACCGCTAGTTCTTCATTTGTCAAGTCACGTTTTTTTTTACTTTAGTAAAAAAAAAATGTTTTTCCCTTGTAGAAACAATCAAAACTTTCACAACAGCTGGACCACGTTACACAGTTGAAAAGAAACACAGGTCAAAAACTTCATTTTCTGCACTTTTTGAACAATGGTCAGACTGTACTCAAGTTAAACAGATATTTTAAATATTTTGACATGTTAAAAACACGATGTCACTTTAATTTGTATTGATTTACGAAATCTGTGTGCTACAGTTCTTTCGACATAAAGATCCTCATCATCCCTCTGAGTTTGCTGATTTTGATCATGATCGTGGTCTTGTTTGTCTGGTTTATACTGAAATGCAGTAAGTCTTAACTCTAGCTTCATATGAAACCTGTTTGTTATCCAACAAAGTTACATCAGATCCTCTGGATGGAACTAGTTTTTTTTTTTTTTTTTTGCCTTTATGGGGCGGCTGTGGCTGATAGAGCAGTCATCCACCAATGCAAGAGCTGGGGGGATTTCATTCCACAAGCAGTTACATGTTGCCTGGGCAAGACACTGAACCTCTCATTGCCTTCAATGTGTGTCCCATCGGTGATAATTCACAGATTATTCTCTGTATAGATCTAGTAAAGTGCTGTATGAATGGGTAAATGAGGGCACAGATTGTAGCGTAAAGAGCTCATCTTGATAAGATAGAAAGATCAAGTGCAGTCCATTTAACATTATGGATGAAATTCTAAACGTTTCAACAAAAAGAAACCGTCTAGAGGACCTGACTTAACTGTTGGAAAGAAAAATGTTCTCGTTATCTGACTTACTGCAACGGAGCAACAAATGATGACAAAATATTTTTAATCGAGTTTACTTTCAAATTCAAATTCAAAAATACTTTATTAATCCCAGAGGGAAATTATTTGTTGTAGTAACTTGTTATCCTCATTTCATTAAGAGATGTTATAGATACTGATGACTGTAGGCAGGAAGGATCTCTTGTAAAGATCCATCCCACAGTGGATCCTAAGAAACTGGCTTCAGATGCCGTCCAATCCGTCCACCCAGACTCGGCTGGCCTTTCGGTTCCCCTGGGCTGTAGAACCACCAGAATGCCAGACAGAACTCCTCCCAGAGCAATGGCCGCTCCTCCCAGCAGTCTGCCGAGCTCCTCGTCGCTGCGGACAGCCAACTGTAGGTACCGAGGGACGATCCTGTCCTTCCGCTGTCATGAGCCGTGTTTCCTGCTAGTTCCAAGATCTCAGTGGTCAGGCACTCAAGCACAGCTGGCAGGTAGATGAGAATGCATCCACAGAACATCCATTCAACTCATTTGAGATTTGGTGCTGTGTTGAGATATTATTTGAGCTTTTGAGATGTTAATCAGCTGCTGTTGGTTGTAGAAAACGGCCTTGTTTCCATGGTTACGCATCATAACAAATGTCCAAAACTAAAAAAGTCTCAGTAAAAATCCTTCCAGATGCACAGCATCTGATACCAGAGGGTATAAACTTGCAAGGACAGATGGTAAACGGTAAATGGACTGTACTTATATAGCACTTTTCTATCTTATGATGATATACTGTATACTCAAAGCTCTTTATACTACAATCTGTGCCCTCATTTTTCCATTCACACAGCACTCTACTATAGCGATACAAAGAGTAATCAGAGCTTTATCACATTCATACACCGGTGGGACACACATCGGAGGCAATGAGGGGTTCAGTGTCTTGGGACACTTCGATATGTGACTGCTGGTGGAATCGAACCCCCAACTCTTGCATTGGAGGATGACTGCTCTAAGCACTCAGCCACTCTGCCCTTACAAAAGCAGGTCACACAGGCTTGCACAGTTGAAACCCAGTCACGAGGATCTGCACCGGACAATGTGCCAGAATTATTTTTAATACACGCATACCAGCTAGTACTGGTCACGACGACCTGGGCTTCCCAGCTCAGACTGGGAGGCGTCAGGTGCGCCTGCAGGCTCCTCTTTCAACTCACACACATTAATTTAACATTACTTAGTGATAAATATTTACCAAATTTCCCCTGACATTAACTTTGTTGGCTTTTTTTTAACCTGGATTATTGAGGAACTTTGATGGTTGTTAATATGTTTACATTTTGTTTACTTTTCTGGTTGACATTGTCAAAGTGCTGGATATAACCACCAGTTTTTTTTTAAAACAGAGCATGACAAAGCAGTTTCAACTACTTCAGTGTTGGTAAGTGATGCTAAATTAAACTTAACAAGACTTATGGGAAATGTTGCACAAACAGCTTCCTTCAAAAAAACAAAAAAAAAACTGTAAAACTTGATTCCCTCTTAAGCATTTTTTTTTTTATTATTATTAATATTTCCACCAGCAAATGTGTGTTTTGTGACATTCATTAACTTTAAAGATGTGTAGATTTAAAGTTGCACTAAGCAAACTTTGCTCAAGTCCTCCGGTCTTTGTTGTGTTCTCTAACAGACTGAGGAGGCGGTAACATACTCTGAAGTTTCTTTCAAGACAAAAAAATCAGCTCAGGTAAACCCAGTGTGCTATATATACTGGTACTGTGAAACCAGCTGTTACATCCAACTTTTCATTCTTTCCTTAACAAAATAAACATATATTCCTCGTAACTGTTTTTAACTGCAGGGTCTGATAGTTGAACATGATGTGGATGTGACGCACAGCTCTGTGGTTCCAGCAAAGCAAACAAGTCTGCAACGGGTAACTAAGACATGACAACGCCCCATTTCTCATTCATTAATTTTTCAGAAGCGCCTTTGGTTAAACGTGGATTGTGCTGAATGTTAAAGCTCATTGTTTAACTGGAAGTTGCACCGAATTTACAAATTGCAAAGAATCAAGATCGAATATGGTCAAATATGATAAATGTCTCCTTGTTGGAGGAACGTCCTTTTGTTTGTCATTGAGTTAATGTTTACTTTTCTTTCAGCAGCGTGAAGCAAGCGATCAGGATGTCACTTACACCACGGTGGTTCGTCACAAGTGAACTGAGAGTTGCATCTGTCTGTGAAAGGATGTGAAACAGCGACTTGTCACATTTCTCATAGCCTTTGATCCCACGTGTTGTGGCCATATATTTATAACCATTCAACAGAAATAAAAATAATTCTGAATTCTAATGTAAAGTTGATTAATGTGAATAAAAATAATTCTGAATTCTATTTAGTTATGTAAAGTTGCTCTTTGTCTGCATTAATTTTTCGTCTCTTATGGATGTTAATGTAAAGTTGATTAATGTGAAATGTTTTGAGTAATATGAGGAAAAAAGGGAGACGAGTTTGACTATTTTATGTATATTTTGTTAGGTTGCTGCTTTTGTAACACAGGCTATCTGAGACTGTTCCCTTAGCTGACATGAAAAATAAAAAATGGTGGTTCTGTATTGGATAAGTGCTTCTAAGCTGCATCATGTCTTCATTTTAGTACATCACGCAACACTTTTTGTTGACTTGGTTAGGAAACAAAGCAAACAAATTATTTCCCATTAATGGTAGAGGTTATAACCCTGAAAAGATGGGAATTGTTGCACAAATTGATCTGTAAAGTATGTATGATCAAAATATAGCTTAGGTATTGTTTTGTGTGCGACTCAGTGGATAAATTATAACACGTGTCCTCACAATCAACTATAACTCTTAGTTGTCTTTGTTATTTACCTTGCAGTGCAGACTGTCGGCATCATAATGTGCTTATGTGCAAGATGTTTTTTTCATTATCACGCTGTTGACCTTCAACCAAAGATTAAGAGTGTTAGGAATTTTTTGTCTCCAAACTCTATGTGTCATTTTTCACCACTTTTAATTGTCCAAACAGGCCTCACTTGTAAATGAGTCTTCAAGGCTCAATGTGACTTATCTGTTTAAATAAAGGTTGAATTGAAAAAAAAAAAAATTACCTCTGGGGGCCAAGATGGGGTAGAGGCAGGGCAGCTGACCTGGGACCAGAAATTCCCAGGCTCGATTCCCAGCCATCCCCACGTCTCTGAGCAAGACAGCCAAGCACCACTCCCCAGGTAGCCTACATAGCTGCCCACTGCTCCAACTGGGTGCATCTCAGTTGCAATGGGTTAAATCAGGGCTATTTAACTGGCGGCCCACAGGCGATTTTTCCAGTCCGCGAGTGACCTCAATCTGGCCAACCTTTTTTTTTTGGGGGGGGGGGGGGGGGGTCTTGATTTGGGTTCTGTTTATTGAATTTATGATTCAATGCAATAAAATAAACACATTTAAAAGGTAACAGATCATTGTAAACTTTGGTTTATTTACATGACTTTAACTGCTGGATGTCCAGCCCCCGAGCTGTTTGCTTTCAGAAACTGTGCCCCCTGAGCAGTTATGTTGAATAGCCCTGGGTTAAACACAGAGAACCAATATCCCCATTGTATGGGAACATACAACACATAACACGTTATTTGCAAAGTTGGACCAAACCCTGCCCAAACCTCCAGACAGATGAATCTTGGACTACCTCGACTTGCCTTGGTTTGGATTGCCATTGTAGGCCTTCAGCCTGGACCCCCTTCATGTGCTGAGCTTACACTGGGAGAGAAGGAACGGGGAATCCTGAGAACCAGCAGAATCAACAATGCAGGCAGACTAGGAGATAAGGTGGAGACCAGAGGACTCTTGTATCTGTGTGAACCAAACTTATTTTCCAATGACGAGCAGGAATAAGGTATCATATTCTATCATTGACTGCATAATGAATTATTTGTTTTTAGTGTGAACCATTGAAATTAGTCTTAAATCTAATTTTTTTGTCTACAGAGACCCAGCTTTATGGTTTTGGTCTTTGGGACAGATGATACCACTTGCTTTAATTAATGGTTGTCTTCTATTTTTAGATTTTAGTAAAACCATCTATCTTGTAATCATCGTATGATCTTTTAAATATTTTTCACTGGCTGAGTTTTTTCGATGTTGGATATTGATCATAGAGATTTGGATCAGTGGGCCCTTTTAAATATGCTTTAAACTAAAAAAAATAAGCTAGAAAAAGTTAAGCTACTGTAAAAAAAATAATAATAATAAAAAGTCTGCTCTCAGACTGCAAGTATTGTGGTTCCTAGAGTTTCCAAGAGGAGAATGGGAGGAATCCCAGTTATCAGGCTCCTCTCTTGTGGAACTAACATCCAGTTTCTGTCCATAAGGCTGACACATTGTCCGGTTTTAAGACTGGGCTCAAGACTTTCCTTTTGATAAATCCTATAATTAGGGTTGGTTTGTTATAGGCTTAGACTACTGGAAGACAAATTGACCACATTTCCTAAAATGAATTGTTAAAATTCAATCATTTCATTTGACATTATTTCTATCTTAACATGTGTCTTAAACCTGCCATTGTGTATCTGTTCCTCCTTCCTGTTCCTCTCAAAACCCAGCTGGTCAAAGCAGACGACCGTTTGTCCTGAGCCTGGTTCTGCTAAAGGTTTCTTCCTCATGAGGGAGTTTTCCCTTTCCACTATTGCCCAGAAATGCTCAGTCATGTCATCTGGACATTTTTTTTTTTTGGTGGAAAGATGTTTCGCTCTCTATCCAGAGGGCTTCATCAGTCTGAGGAGTCCCAAGTAAACGGTTTCCCCACTAAGCAGTACACTCCTTAAGTGGACCAAACAGTTTGCACCAGATTTTATACCTGGATGATTGAGCATGAACTTTGATGTCTTTAACCAATTTGTCTGTGGCTGCCTGCCTGGGAGGAGTGAACAGGGGACAGGACAGCCCCCAGAAACCATCTTTTCTCCAGCAAACAGGTTGGTCCACTTAAGGAGCGCACTGCTTAACCTTCCGTCTAGAGCTCGCTGTAACTGACGTTTTCCTGCCTTGATTTAATACAATTGGTAAACTGAATTCACGTTTCCTTGATTTATTGAGAGTTACTTCTTATGAGGGAGTCCGAGCTGGAAACCTCCTGAGCTGGAGGAGGGCCTGGGGTCCGAGATAAGACCTGCAGGACACGACAGCTCAGTGACTCTTTAAATCTTTGGAGACTATCCAGTCTGGATAGAGGGCGAAACGTCTTTCCACAAAAAATAAACAGACCTGACTAAGCATTATTGGATTTTGTACTTGGATGATTGAGCACGAACTTTGATTTCCAGTCGCCTTCATGCTTGCTCAAAGACGAGTTCTGCAATGAAGGTGCTCTGCACCTCAAATAAAGAATGTTTTTTTTTTTAATAAATGTTTCTGTTCTGTGCCCTGAGATGACTTCTGTTGTGACTTGGTGCTATATAAATAAACTGAACTGAATTAAGACATTCCTAATTGGTAATTTTGTAATGCATGAAAAATCTAAATGTCAATTTAAAAACAGATAAACATAAGAATTACATTTTATAACTTTACTTTTGTTATTTCTGGTCCCATGGTCATTTCTTCAGGGTGAAGAAATCATGTGCTGCCATGAAAGGCACACCAAAATGTTACTGCCTGTGTTAGCAAAATATTTCTTGAACCAGACTTTAATGAAATGCTCAGAAAACAATTGAATGTACATTTTCAAAAACATTTGAAGTAAACTTGATTGAAAGTGATCACCAGGTAATCAACCTTAGCCAATGCATCTGTAACTGAGCCATTGTGACTGGTATTGAGCTTGAATCTGGCGTGGCAGCAGCTGAGCTCCATCTCCCAACACACAGTTGGAAAAAAGATCAGATATTTGTTTAAAACTTCAAACCATCAAAGTGGCGGGCAATATGCATTCCTTCAAGGACATGGCAAATTCTAGCTTTAAATCCAAATGACAGAACTTTTTTCTCGTTTTATTTCTCATCAGAACAGTTTTTAGCTTAGAATCTGCAAGAGATCCTCCATTACGAGCTAAATTCACATGCAATGAATTAAATAGAACTGATCACTTGGAAGATTCATTCAGGGAAAATTTTCTAAAATATGTCCCCTCTCTCCTGAGGGTTGTTTTGTACAACCATCTGATTTGAGCAAAGCCAAGTCTAAAAGTGAGAGCAAAAATAAGAGGAAATCTTGGATTTTCTGTGACTCTGGCAGGACTGAATTTCTATTTAGAACCAGAATTTTTTTTAATACACAGCAGACAAAACTGAATAAACTTAAAAACTTCATCTTGCAACACTTCTCAGGAAATTAAGCTACTTTTAAAAGACAAAAACCAAATGGGAAACTTTATTTTTTGATTTACTACAAAAAGAAAAGCGACATGAATTAAATCATTTAAAGAAATGTGTGAAAAAGTTACATAGGGGTTTTGACTAAATGGAACAATGTATATACATGTTTTAAAGATGCTTAATTAGTTTACAATCTTACTAAAGAGGAAAAAATGAAGCATAGAAAAAAGATATTACTATCAATGAAAGCAAACCAACATGAGCTACAGTATTTCAACTAATACCAAAGGAGTAGCATGTTCAGCTTCTGGGTTCAAAGAGTTTGTTTTACACAAATTTACAGTTGCAAAGACATCATACAAGCAGAATTTAGATAAAAAGACATAACTGAAGGTGAGACGAAATATAAATTCAAGAGTTGGAAATTTTACTACTAAACAAAACAAGAATACATGTCTCTCCTCCGTTTAATCACTTTAGCTTGTCAATTTAATTAATAGACAAGAACTACGGTCGTTTTTTTCATAACTTTTAAACATTTCTTGGTGCTTTCTGTGCACAAAATGAGACAATGCTCCAAGTAACCATCTCCGAACATCTGTACAATCAATAAAATTGAGTGGACAAATCACTAATTACTTACTGCTGGTTGAAAAGAACATACCAAAACTTTTTTTGTTTAGTCAGGTGAAATTTTACCAAGAGCTGACAAGAAACTGTGGGTTGTTTTTTTTTTTTTTAAGAAAATAAAAGTGGTATGTTCAGCATACATTTCGCCCTAATCACATTTATTTGTGTTCTTTATAGCCATTCTGTTCCAATCATGAAGAGAATTGAGGGTCAGAATTATGATTTGGCTCCTCCCTTTTCTTTAACCTGCAGGAACTTGGCCATGTGTTCCAGCCGAACAGAGCCTCGGTGGATCCATTCCTTCTGCCCACTTCCCTGTGCAACAACCAGACATCACATGAAGCATAAATAAAATTACAACTCAGAATTAGGTCTTATTACAGTTTAAAATCATTTTGACTTGGTGCTTTATAAATAAACTGAATTGAAAACTGAACTGAATTGATGGCCCCTGTGATGTTGTCTATATCGCCACCTACTGACAACACTAAGTAACTTACCTTGTTTTCTCCAACTTAATGTACAATGAACAAAATATTGAAAATGTCTTTCAAACTGATCAAACAAACAACTCTATTCTAATTTTGACTTTGATGAGTTTTAATTAAGTCTGGGCAAAAAATATGTTTTTTTTTTTTTTTAATGAAATGACAATTAATATAGATACAGTATCTCACAAAAGTGAGTACACCCCTCATATTTTTGTATATTATTATATCGTTTCATGGGACAACACTTAAGGTATGACACTTTGATACAATGTAGTTAGTGTACAGCGTATATAACAGTGTAAAATTGTCTGTCCCCCCCAAAATAACACAATACATATCAATTAATGTCTAAAGAACAATCCATCCAGAGGACCTGACTCAACCTTTGAGTACAGCCCTGTGTGAAAATGTCCAAATTGTACCCAAAGTGTCAATATTTAGTGGCCACCATTATTCTCCAGTACTGTCTCAACTCTGTTGGGCATGGAGCTTCCCAGGTTGTCACTGGAATCCTCCCACTCCTCCATGACATCATTGAGATGGTGGGCATTAAGAGATTTTGTGCTCCTCCACCTTCAGTGTTTGAGGATACCCCACAGATAATGAACAGGGTTTAGGTCTGGAGACATGCTTGGCCAGCCCAGCACCTTTACCCTCAGTTTCATTAGCAAGGCAGGGGTCGTCTTGTGTTTGGGGTCATTATGTTGGAAAACTGCCCTGTGGCCCAGTTTCTAAAGGGACAGTATCTTGCTCTGCCTCAGTATGTCATGTTGGAATTCATGGTTCCCTCACAGTGAACTGTAGCTCCCCACAGCTCCAAACCATGACACTCCCACCACCATGCCTGACTGTAGGCAACACACACTTTGTACTCCTCACCTGGTTGTCACCACACGTTTGACAACAAAATAGGCTGATCTTGGTCTCATCAGACCACAGCACCTGGTTCCAGTAATCCATGTCCTCAGTCTGTTTGTCTTCAGCAAACTGTGGGTTTTCTTGAGCATCATCTTTAGAAGAGACTTCCTTCTGGGATTACCAGTTTGATGCAGTGTACGGCGGTATTGCCTGAACACAGGCATGCTGACCCCTCACCCCTTCAACTTGTGCAGCAATGCTGGCAGCACTCATACATCTATTTTCAAAAGACAACCTCTGGATATGATGCTGAGAACATGCACTCAACATGTTTGGCCGACCATGGCGAGGCCTGTTCTGTTAAACCACTGTATGGTCTTCAGTGTTTCCCATAGGTCATTTGTATTGGCAGGGCAGGGCGCTCATCTCTTCTGTAATTTTTGTAGACGGGGGTAGGTAAAGACGGCTTAGGTAGGCGGGGTGCCCTCTTTGTATAACTGGTTTTGGTTACTGTGCTACAGCTCAGTTTCAGGGTGTTGGCAATCTTCTTAGAGCCTAGTGCAGGGGTCACCAACACGGTGCCCGTGGGTACCTGGTCGCCCCCAGGGATCGCGTGAGTTGCCCACGGGGCACGTTCTAAAAATAGCACTCATCATCAAGGAGCACCGCCTAATTGTCATTAATTACATGCTTTTAAATTTAAGTTATAACATTTGCATGGATGTAAATTTGAAATTAAAATAATTGATTAAAGTTTTTACAAGTAATTCTTTGTGTACATATTAGTGACCTTGTCTGGGGTCAAAGTTCATAATCACGCACAGCTACAAGCTTTGTTTACCTCCCTGAGTGGAGGGGAAGTTGCAGAAAAGCGTAAGAAAACCATATTTTCTGTGACTGTGAGGAAGAGGTTTTTTAACACTTGTGAAAGACAAATGTGCACGTGTCTCAATTGTGGGGCAACAGCAAAACGCCACAATGTGGAGCAACACTTCACCAGCTAACACTGTAGCTTTAATGGTAACTGCCCGCCTGGCAGAAACATGTCGGAGTTAAAGGCAGCTCTGACTGTTCGCTCCGTCTTTCTTCATGAGGCATTTTCTGATGGGGGACGTCTTGAAAGAAACAATGATGAAGAACGTGAAAAGTAAATTGTTTGAGTGAAAAATGTGATGATTAGTTAAAAATGCAGCAGATCTGAAGATCAGCACTAATGTGACACAAGTCATTTAAAAATACAATAAGTGTTCCTGATCAGGGTCACGGTGGAGTCTGGAGCATGTCTCAGCTTCTTTTGGGACATCCTGGACAGGCCTCCAGTCCATCACAGGGACAGACAAAGAGACAAACGTCCACACACCCAGTCACAGCCAGGGGTAATTTTAGAGACAAAGAGCCCCTAAAAGAGATTCAAACTGAGAACTTGAGTTTTAATCACTAATTATCAATAATAAATTATCATACCCATCTTGGTAAATTATTGATCATTTTTGTGAGGAGACCTAAACATTAGAGAAACAGGCAGTCATACGTTCACATATATGTAAATGTATTAGTAATAATATTATCATTAAAGGTGGGTCATGCAAACTGGTGCCTGTATCAACCCTTCATGTCACTCAGTCCCACTGAAGTAGGATTGTCCTTTTGGTTGCCATTTTTGTTTTGTTTTGTAAAAAAAAAATAAAAATTGTATGCCTGTTTTATGATCGTCTATTGTTGTCGTTGTTATTCACTGTTGTCATCACTCTTTGTTAAGAAATCAGGTCCCTCTTGTAAATGAGACCCCGAGGCTCAATGGGATTAACCTGTCTAAATAAAAGGTTGAATGAATGTTGAACTCCCAGTGACCAGTATGAGAGTGTGAGGAAGATGATACCACATTTAACACAACTGCTCCCCATTCACACTTGAGACATTGTAACACTAATGAGTCACAGGACACCTGGGAGGGAAAATGGCTAATTCAGCACGATTTGGACATTTTCTCTTAGGGCTGTACTCAACTTTGTTGCCAGTAGTTTAGACAGTAATGGATGTGCTGACATTTTGAGGAGACAGCAAATTTACACTGTTATATAAGATGTACACTGACGACTTTATATTGTTTCAAAGTGTCATATCTTCAGTGTTGTCCATGAAAAGATTTTTGTCAATACTGTGAAGGATGTACTCACTGCTGTGAGATACGTTGGCATAATTTAAATGATCATAATTCACAAGTTGTTGTCCCCTCCCCCCTTTTGTGAATTGCAATTCATTTACATTTTAGGTGAATTGACCTAAATGTAATGTTACAAACTGGTTAAATAATCATAGTTTCAAAACAAAAGACAAACACATAAAAACTGAATAACAAAAAAACAACAAGATATACTGACCCGAAAAACAATCTGCATCAAGCTGCAGTCAACAGCATCTACCGTGCACCTCTGGAGGGCTCCCTCCACCTCTACATTAATGATCTGCCCAACCTTGTAGTGGGTAAGATGTGGAAATGGCCAGTTCTTCACATACTGTTTCAAAAAGCCCCTGTGAGTGCCTTCAGGGATGTCCTCTAAATTATCGTCCACTGTGCAAAAATATAAAATAAAAAAACAATTTAATTTTTTGGTGTGTACCTGAAAATATAAACAAGCAGCATTTGTGCATCTGGAAATATGTAAAAAATAAGGATTCCTCAGAGTACCAATGGTAAAAAAAATAATAATAATCTGCATAGAACACCATAAAGGTACATTCAAAATGTTACAGAAATAAATAATATGTATGCAACAAATGAAAAGAACATCTCACTAAGAGCTCCTTTTTGATTTACTTTTGAACAATTGTTAAACAACTCTATATCAACCTATTCAGATGTGATGTAAATGTTTTAGTATCCAATATTTACACAGAGAACCATATACAGTGCCTTGCAAAAGTATTCGGCCCCCTTGAACTTTTCAATCTTTTGCCACATTTCAGGCTTCAAACAAAGATATAAAATTTAAATTTTTTGCGAAGAATCAACAACAAGTGGGACACAGTCGTTAAGTAGAATGACATTTATTGGATGCGTCAAACTTTTTTAACAAATAAAAAAACTGAAAAGTGGGGCGTGCAACATTATTGGGCCCCTTTACTTTCAGTGCAGCAAACACTCCAGAAGTTCAGTGAGGATCTATGAATGATCCAATGTTGTCCCAAATGACTGATGATGATAAACAGAATCCACCTGTGTGTAATCAAGTCTCTGTATAAATGCACCTGCTCTGTGATAGTCTCAGGGTTCTGTTCAAAGTGCAGAGAGCATCATGAAATCATGAAGACCAAGGAACACACCAGGCAGGTCCGAGATACTGTTGTGGAGAAGTTTAAAGCTGGATTTGGATACAAAAACATTTCCCAAGCTTTAAACATCCCAAGGAGCACTGTGCAAGCAATCATATTGAAATGGAAGGAGTATCAGACCACTGCAAATCTACCAAGACCCGGCCGTCCCTCTAAACTTTCATCTCGAACAAGAAGACTGATCAGAGATGCAGCCAAGAGGCCCATGATCACTCTGGATGAACTGCAGAGATCTACAGCTGAGGTGGGAGAGTCTGTCCATAGGACAACAATCAGTCGTACACTGCACAAATCTGGCATTTATGGAAGAGTGGCAAGAAGAAAGCCATTTCTCAAAGATATCCATAAAAAGTGTTGTTTAAAGTTTGCCACAAGCACCTGGGAGACACCAAACATGTGGAAGAAGGTGCTCTGGTCACATGAAACCAAAATCAAACTGTTTGGCTGCAAAACGATATGTTTGGCGTAAAAGCAACACAGCTCATCACCCTGAACACACCATCCCCACTGTCAAACATGGTGATGGCAGCATCATGGTTTGGGCCTGCTTTTGTCAGCAGGGACAGGGAAGATGGTCAGAATTGATGGGAAGATGGATGGGGCCAAATACAGGACCATTCTGGAAGAAAACCTGTTTGAGTCTGCAAGAGACCTGAGACTGGGACGGAGATTTATCTTCCAACAAGACAATGATCCAAAACATAAAGCCAAATTTACAAAGGAATGGTTCACGAATAAACGTATCCAGGTGTTGGAATGGCCAAGTCAAAGTCCTGAATCCAATCGAGAATCTGTGGAAAGAGCTGAAGACTGCTGTTCACAAACGCTCTCCATCCAACCTCACTGAGCTCGAGCTGTTTTGCAAGAAAGAATACCATACCATACCAATTTATTTATATAGCACTTAAAACAGCAACAAGGCCAACCAAAGTGCTGTACAAAAGAACCAAACATGCACAGCAGACAGGAAAACATAAAATAGAAATACAGATACAAATAGCAGCAGAAGCTAACTAAAATGGCCAACAGAGTAGAGAACAGACCGGACCAAAACAAATCACACCGTGTTAAAGGCAAGCGAATAGAAGTGGGTCTTCAAGCGAGACTTAAAGACTGAGAGTGTGGGAGCCTGCCGGACACTCAGTGGCAACTCATTCCACAGTCGTGGACCTGCAACAGAGAAAGCCCTGTCACCTCTGAGCTTACGACGGGTTTCTGGGACTGAGAGAAGCATCTGGTCTGCTGACCTCAGAGAGCGCGGTGGGACATATGGCTGCAGAAGATCAGTGAGATAGGACGGGGTGGAACTGTTCAGTGATTTAAAAACATACATGAGAATTTTGAAATGGATCCGAAGGTGAATGGGTAGCCAGTGCAGGGAGGCCAAAACTGGCGTGATGTGCTCTCTATAGCCTGTACCAGTTAAAAATCGGGCTGCAGCATTTTGGACCAGTTGTAGACGAGCAATGGAGGACTGACTGATTCCAAACAGAAGTGAATTGCAGTAATCAAGCCTAGATGTTATGAAGGCGTGGATCACTGTCTCGAGGTTCTTTTTGGAGAGTATAGGCTTCAGCTTAGACAGCCGTCTCAGCTGAAAAAAACAGGATTTGACCATCATGTTTACGTGACTGTTGAGTTTTAAGGACGGGTCCATTATCACCCCCAGATTAGTCACCTTTTGTTTCTCTAGCGGGGCTAGAGAGAAAAGGTCAATGTCATGGTTCATGAGTGAGCCACTGGGATGGAACAGCATGACTTCAGACTTCTTCTCATTGAAGCTTAACAAGTTTAAAGCCATCCAGTCCCGGATGTCAGCCAGGCAGTCAAGAAGAGGCTGAATAGAGCGTGTGCCTCTGTGCCTCAGGGGGAAGTAAATTTGGCAATCATCGGCATAGAAATGAAAGGGTATGTCGTGTTTGCGGAAGATAGCACCTAGTGGCAGCAGGTATAAAGAAAAGAGAAGGGGACCGAGGATGGACCCCTGCGGTACCCCCCACTGGAGTGCGGTCGATGCCGAACTAAAATCTTTGATATTGACACAGAAGGTTCTGTCAGAGAGGTAGGACCCAAACCATTTAAGGGCTGACCCTGTGATGCCCACCCACTGCTCCAGGCTAGAAATGAGGATATTGTGGTCGATGGTGTCAAAAGCAGATGTAAGGTCCAATAGGACAAGCAGCACAGAATCACCTGCGTCTGTGGATATGAAAATGTCATTAGAGCAGTTTCAGTGGGCAAGAATTTCAGTCTCTCCATGTGCAAAACTGATAGAGACATACCCCAAGAGACTTGCAGCTGGAATTGCAGCAAAAGGCGGCGCTACAAAGTATTAACGCAAGGGAATAATATTGCACGCCCTATTTTCCGTTTTTTATTTGTTAAAAAAGTTTGACACATCCAATAAATTTCATTCCACTTCACGATTGTGCCCACTTGTTGATTCTTCACAAAAAATTAAAATTTTTATATCTTTATGTTTGAAGCCTGAAATGTGGCAAAAGATTGAAAAGGTCAAGGGGGCCTAATACTTTTGCAAGGCACTGTATCAATGTATATCCTCCAAAATGCACAGCAAGCTTTCTTTGTCTATTTATTGTGATGCCAAAAAAAAAAAAAAAAAAGACCTTCCAAACTTACATGGTCTGCAAACCAGGTGAAGTGAAGGTAAACTCAGGTAGATTGCTGACTGGTCATCCAAAAAGATCAAGAACCTGAGAAGTTTAAATGTATCAAAATAAAACTCTCATTAATGCATTTAAGTTTACCTTGAGAAATTCTGAAAAAAATTATTAAATTTCTAAAGCATCAAAACTGCGTGCAGGTGATAAACATGTTGAGTAACACTCATTCAAACCCAAACCTTAAGCGATTCTTTCTGCTGGGGAGCTCGGCCAAAATACCAGGCAGGAAGCTAAATTCGTCATCCGTAGACTGAATAACAACTCGAGCGCCAACATACAGCTCCTCCAGTTTAGGTGGGCTGTCGAGGGCAATGTGATGTCCTGATACAAGGCTCCTGCCTTTTTCTTCAAAGTTAACTTTATACTTTACCCGTCCGTCTTCTGCAAGATAAATAAATAAGTGAATAAGATCAGTATAACAAAGGTTAAATCCTGTTAAGTTAACTGGTACATCATACAATAGACCAGTAAACGTTATTCTATGACAGGGGTATTCAATTATAATTTAAAGAGGTCCAGTCAGACAAAATTTCATGAGGCCAAGGTCCGGAAGTCCAACTATTTAATGTATATATAGTTCATGTAGTTTACAGTTGGATTAATTTGTTCTATTTCGTATAGACTTCGCCCTTTAAGGCTATCGCTAGTGGGTTTATCCCTTTGCGCGCAGCGCAGCACTGAAAACTTTAGTCCACGCCCACCGGCAGTGTGGGCCCCACCCTCGGTCCGTATAAATTACGGTGAGACGGGGCAATCGGCTCCCATTTTTTCTTCAGCCAGCTAGCGAGTACTGTCAGAAGAACGAAGGAGGAAAAGATGTCCAGCTTTGACCGGCACAACTTTTGCGAATGATGCCTGGGTCTTCGCCACGCCAACCTCCTGCCGTCCCGGTGAGCTCTTCTTCCCCGAGGAGAAGCAGAGACGAGAAGCCTTGTTCAAGGTAAGTGCCGAGGAGTGTTTTTCCGTGGAGGGCCGCTACTCCCTGGACGATGCCACTGCCTTTTCTAACGTGTTTTCCTCGCAGTGAATCAGATGATTCCCTCGAAAAAGGCGTTGTTGGCAGCAGCTCCGCTGAGTGTTTTTGCATGGTGGGACGCTATGCGCAAGACAACGCCACCGCCTTTCTTTGACGCAGAGTCACGCAATGAATAGAATGATTCCTCAGAGAAAGGTGATGCTGGAAACAACCTCACTGCCCCTTCCCTCCTGGAGAGTGTAGTGACGAAAGAAGAGCGGTCGAACGGATGTTCAGCCACCAAGGGTCTTCCCATGACGGCAACCACACCGCTCCCAGCCGTCGGCGCCCTCCTCTTGGAGCTGACCGGCATAATCCAAGAAGCTGCTAACACAAAGGGACTTTCCGTCCCTCGCCTCCCTCCGCCCCGATCGGATGATCTGGCAGGAAGGTTTGGCTCCGCCCCGACTCGATGCCCTGATCCCATCTGGCCTGGCTGTCTAGCTGTGAGGTCACACTGGAACGAGGCTGCAGCTGGGCCCGGCAAGCTGAAGACATCCTCGCCTCCATCTCTAGAGTGGAGGGTTTTACTGATCTGTGTTTTCCCTCGGTTCCCCCCCTGGAGACAAGCCTGGAGGAGGCGCTTGGGGGAAAAAGATTCCAGGATGGACCAGCAACTTGCCCCTCCAGGGAAGCATGACCAGATGGTGACAAAGGTCTCCAACAGAGCTCACCAGTGCTCATTCCAGGCGGCCGCGGCCAACAACAATGTCGCCCTGCTGGCCTACAGCATCTCTAAGAGTCTGGAAGAAGCAGACCTGCTGGAGGAGACAAAGAGCTCTCTCTGTAAAATCGCTGACGTCATCTTAGAACATGTGCGCCACCTCTGCAGTCTGCCTGTCCCGCATCGCCGCCTGGATGACCATGATCCAGAGGACCACTTGGCTCCGCCTCTCACCATCCCTGTCCAAAAGGCTGCAGAAAGACCTGCTGGAGGGCCCCATAACCCCAGAGGTGCTGTTGGGGGCCAACTTCAGGACCATCCTTGAGAAATCGCAGAGGTTCGAGGAGGTCTAAGAGACTGTACACCTTCTGGTGATGTCACGGTCCTCCTCCCGCCCCTCTAGCCGCTGGAGGGACAACCCTGGCCAGCAACAAATCTGAAAGTAAAAGTTTCATCTGATTCCAGCCTGACCGTCAGATCAACTGATCTCACAGTTGCCTCTCTTCACACATTCCCCACATAGAACGAGCTGGTAACTTCTAAACAGCATTTTAAATGGCACTGCAGTTTGGTAAATTTCACAAACACTTGTCTGCCACGTTAGCTAAAAATGATGTTTTTTTTCAGCAGATCGAGTCCGGTAAAATCCCTTGTTCTCAGCCAGAGCCTGTTTTTATTTTCTGCTGTTTTCTGCCCACTCACCACGTAGAGGGAGTAAACTTGTTTCTCCACGACAGCTGCAGCCGCCACCGAAACGGCATTTCACTCAGAAAGCGCTCACGCCTCCTCTCAGTGCGCGCCGGCTCACCTCAGCTCTAACGTGAGACTGCAGCCTGGGCTCAGCACAGAGGCACACATACAGCATTTTTCTGTCAGAACATCCCCCCACCCCTGGGTTCCCTCCAGAAAATCTCCGGAGCAGATGATGGCAATAAGGGTTTTTTAGTCTGGTTGACGTTCATGAGAAACATGACACAACACAAAATGTGTGCCCACTCTCCGAGCATTACTCACAGTGGCAGAGAGTGTGTTCCCTGGACAGATGGACGGACCATCTGATCAGCAGGGTTTACACGCTGCAGTTTGCAACTCAACCCCCACCATTCAGAGGGATTATAGAGACCAGTGTTTCCCCTACTATTATACAGGTGGGGTGCCCCACCCCGCCAACAAAACTGAGCACCCCGCCTACCAAATTGTACTTGCCCCTCTCTCCCCCACCCGGTACTGACATATCACTAAGGTAGCGGCGCAAAATACAGGCTCTCTAGCTAAAAAGTCCAAGGCAGCACTCACATTGCCTCTTCCCTCATGTTGAACGCCCCAGCCCCCGCTCAAGAACTGTTAGTACAGGCTGCGCTCAGACATGTTTCCGTCCCCCCCATCAGCAAAAATCATGGATGAGATGAGCACCCCGCCATGGCAAGCTAACTAGGGGAAACACTGGAGATGGTTCTGTCTTCTCCAGAACAGAGCTTGTCTCTCCAGTCAGAAGTTCAGGAATTTCTGATGATTTCCAGAGTTCCCAACGGAGAGGAAAATACTGGGTTTTTTCCTCCCACTACTTCCTGGTTCTGAAAAAAACCGGAGGGATGAGACCCATTCTTGACCTGTTCATGTTTAACAATTCGATCATGGGGAGACAATTCCACATGCTGACAATCAAACAGCTGCTGGAGAACTTCACCAGAATGATTGGTTCACCTCCATAGATCTGAAGGGCACATTTTTTCACATTTCCATCATTCCGAAACACCCCACATACGTTCTCGAAATGCGTGGAGACGGCTCTGCAGTCGTTACACATGGCAGGAATGAGAATTATTTTTATCTGGACTATCTGCTTTTATTAGCTTGGTCCAGATAGGAAGCAGTCACACAGACCAAAACACTAGTGTTACACCTGGGGTTTTCTATAAACTGGGAAAAAGTTCCGTTCGTCCGTCATCTGGAAGTGGAGCTAAACTCAACCACAATGAGAGCCCGTTTATCACAGCTGAGAGCCGAAGCTCTGTCAGCTCAGCTCCGCCGTGTCAAACTCTGCAGCATAGTGACAGTTCTGCCTGTCATGCGACTCCTGGGACGATGTCAGCAGCCCACATCGTGGTTCTGCTGGGCCTACTTCACGAGAAACCTTCAGAGATGGTTTGCCCGCCTGCGCATAGATCCTGTGCGCCAGAAGAGGTGAATAATTTTGTGCCCCCCTCCGTGAGAAACGATCTGAATCACTGGGGAAACCCCCTCATTCTGTCAGAGGGAGTTCCCATCAGCAGGCCAACGTCACACATCTCAGTTTTCACAGACGTGTTCCTGTCAAGCTGGGAGGAATGTGTCTGTCCCAAGCAGTGGGAGCACAGTGGCTGGACCACGTCGCTTCACATAAATGTGCTAGAATGTTTCACGGTCTGAAACATGACTCAGCATTTTGCCCCCCGCTGCGGGATCAGCATGTTCTGATCCACACAGACAACAAAGTGACGGCAGTTTACATAAACCGTCAGGGAGGCATGCGCTCAGCCCAACTGTTACGCATCGCGAAATAGTTGTTGTGTTGGGCACACAAAAACCTGCTCTTCATCAGAGCAGTGTACATTCCCAGCGTCCTGAACAGGCGAGTGGATATCATGTCGAGGGGCGGTCCCCGCCACAGAGACTGGAGCCTCCATCCCGAGCTGATCTCTCGGATTTGGAGCAGGTTTGGCCGAGCAGCAGTGGATCTGTGCGCCACACGGGAGAACACCCAGTGTCAATTATGGTTCTCACTGAGCCCACAAGACGACCCACCGTTAGGAGTGGACGCCTTCGCTCACAGCCCGTGGCCAAAAATGCTCCTTTATGCGTTCCCTCCAGTCCTGCTGATATCACGGACCCTGGACCGGGTCCTGTCAGTTATTCTTGTAGCTCTCGAATGCATAAGCGCTCTGTGGTTCCCGAATCTGCAGCGACTGATATTGGGTCGGCCGTGGAAACTGCCGTGGGGGGGGCTCTCCTCCTGGCAGGAACAGCGATCAGGAGTTACTCAGAAATAGGTCAGCATCTTTGAGTCTGGCCGCTGAACGGATCCGTTTAGAAAAGATGGGCCTCCCACAGGATGTGGTGCGTAGAATTCAGGCAGGGCGCACGAGCCGCTTCCACCACAGCGCTGTACACATCAAGTGGACAGTTTTTCAGCGCTGGTGCGCAGAGAAAGGCGTGGAGGCCATCTCATGTCCACTAGGTGGCTGCTGTTGTTCGGCATATTGCTTTTGTACTATTAGTGCTTAGCGTATTCTTGGTTTAGCATATTTCTTAGTTCATATCTTAGATCTTATTACTGTTTATCTTTACAATTTATACTTTGCTGGACGTAACTGGGATCCTGTGTACACATTTTCGTTCCATCACATGTACCACACGCTCTCCTGGCAATGAACAGCATACACAGCATTACTCTATTTGTGCTGTTGAACAGGATCTTCGGGATGGACCAGTCTTTGCGATGTATGTTGGGGATTTAAAGCCATAGCAAGCAGCCATCAGGGCACTAACAACCTATTGTTAGACTGATGGTCCTCCTTTATCATGTGAAAAGCTAGTTTTGGCTATCACCAGAAAACTGGTTGATTCACGAGAAGGTGTTGTTTATAAGACTTGAGTTTGTTGTAGCTTCTCAGACTGACAAAGTCTTTTTGATAAAAGGCGAACCATTTCTACAATTTTTTAAATTTTATTTACAAAAAATGTAATCCTCCAAAGGATCTGACTTAACTTTGTTAGAATTTTCTACCAGGATTATTGAGTATGCATCAGGACTGTTAAAAAGTACTTACCCAGAATCACAGAAATGCAATGACATGTTTGCGTTGCGATTCTCGCTGAACCTTGATTGTAAAACTACGAGCTACATTAAAATATAATAATCTTCAGAAGTTTAATAAACCCTGACACTTTTTAGAAATTACAAATCAAACGTATAAAGAAACTGTCTCAAAATAATTTTTACATAAATTTAACTTAAATGACAGCATATTTCAGTCTTAATAATGTGAGATTCCAGCAATCTGTAAAAAAAAAAACAAAGAACACAACAAATTTTTTTATCCAATAGGTTTCTCCTCTTACCCTTTGTAACAATCTCCAGTAGTTTCCCTCTCTGCCACAGCATAGCTCTCTTTCTGGCCAGGACTGTCATGCCCACTTTTACCTCGACCTCTGGCAAGTCGGGACGAACCTTTGTGGTTTCGTTGGAGGAATGGGCAAACGCAGACGATACAATAATGGGCCCACCTTCTGCCACTGTGTAGGGAAATAAATATATGCACTCAATATGTACTTAAAAGTAAACACTCTGAATTTAATTTGTCCAAAGGGCTTACATGTTTGGATGCTCAGGTGCGTGTACTTACCGTTGTTGTCGTTGGCATTGTTGCTGCTGTTAATGTTATTACTGCTACTACTGCCGTCACGACTGCTGTGACCATTGGTGTTACTTATCTTTGGTGGAGGAGCATTAATTGCAACATGCTTTTTGGATTTCAAAGTTTTCCGTTTTTTACCAGTGACGTCAAAGTCTGAATCTGAATCATTGTCTGGTTCCCACAGCCGATCGGAGTCAGAGCTGCAGCGGGACTCGGTTTCACTGTAGAACTGCTGAGGCGTTGGAGGTTGAAGGGCATTAATTGTAAATTCAGGGAGTCTTGTCAAAATTACAACGGGTTTCTGTTTCAGTTGAGTCAAGTCAAGTCCATTTTCACAATAACTTATCTTCTGAGGACAATTGGTTGTGGGGAGAAAGGTAACACAACCAAGGCTGGACACATTTCCTGGGGGGAACAAAAACAAAAAAAATTAATAAAACTAAACAAAGCATTCATTTAGGTTGAATATTAAAAATATCAACTATCAGAATGTTTATTCAACTTTTATTTATACAGACTAGCCTCATTGAGCCACGGGGACTCATTTATAAAAGGGACCTGTTTCTGTGAGCAGCAAGTTAGCCATCTGGTCTAAAACATTTGATTGTTGTACACGATGATTGATTTGGACGGACAATGTAATCATTTTAAAACGAAACCAATCAAGCTAATTAGTTTTACCTCATACAAATTAATAATGTTTATTTCAAGGGGGGAAACATCTAATATGCACTTACCAGTATCACCTGAGCCGTTCTGAACCATCATCAGCGAAATCGGCTCACACTCATCCACCTCCATCATGACTGAAAAAAAGCACATTTACCGACAAGACAATGAATTCAAGAACAAATCTTACAACGCTGCTGGGGGTTGTTAAAAACATGATCACATTAACACATATGCACTAAATGGTAGAAAAGAACGAACTCTGGTTTTATTTGGGCCATTTAACAATCGTTAAAAACGTAAAAGCTGCTGAAAAACTGAGGGCGCTGATAACATCAAACAAAGCGTGGCTATCCCACTAAATCTACATCCTTACCTATTTGAGAGTCGAATACAGTACTACCTTGAAATAAACAACAAGTTTGTTCACATTAGGATCCAAGGAACCGTCGTCGTAGTTAAAGCTAACGCTGGTTAACGCGAAAAATGTTTTACAGTTTTAAGCTACTAGCGTTAGCCAAAGCGCGCGCTAGCGACTCTTCTTCTTGGAAATATTACGGTAGTACGAAAACAATAAATTTTGCTTTACTGCCACCTAGCGGAATTAAACTAAACGTCATAACAACAACAAAAGAAGAAGCGTATCATTCTCGCTAAACTCGTGATGTTTTTAATGACATTCAGTTATAATTACTTACACACAATTGTATTATTATTTTTGGTGTTTTCGTGTTTTAATCCTCTTCTGTGTGTGTAACTAACGCTTCTTCCTTAAAAATTTGTAACTACGTCACCTTGTTTTTCATGTAAATAAATATTTCTGAATATGACATAAAACTAAAAATTTAGGAAACTGATGAAACATGCAATCAGTAAATTATCGAGGTAACTTTTGCTCAATTTTTATCTATTTACTTTTCCTCTTTTTCAAAATTTTGCTGGGCTGTCACCTTAACCCATCACCTAACAGTTTACAGTACACAAGTTTACAGTCTTACTATCAATAAAACAATAGAAATGACTAAAAGACTACCACTTTTTACATTTACTTAATAACCTTATTATTGAGCATGCATCAGGATATTTACTTAATAACAGACTATTAAACAAATGGCTACTAATTAGTGTTAAATGTAAGAGAGATTATTGTAATAATTAATAATTACAGAATCTAGAAAAAAAACTGGTGAATGTGACACACATTCTAATATAATGAACCATTAATATTCTAAGACTGGTTAAAGTGCATCAAATATAACAACCTGTTGTATTTTTTTTTCTTCTTTTTACAGCAATTTGATATGTAGTAAACAAGTAGTAAACATCTGCTAAGTTCCTGGCAAAATGCATACATGTTCCTGTTTTTAGTATTCTTCATAGTTTAACAATTTAGTAACAAAAAAGTTAAAAAAGTAAGGTCATTGCCTATATTTAAGAAAATGATTAAGATTAAAATTTTGGAAAGATACATATAAATACGTAAAATTGTGATGAGGTAATTATTTTGTTATATTACTTATAGATGATTATTGTTTGAATTGATTGTTTGAATTGATTTTGTTTTAAACAAGGGGCAGATATGATAAGATTTTTTTCTTCTTCTACCTTTCATTTTATGACGTTTTTTTTTTTCTCATTTGGTTTCTAAATTGTTTTTGTGTTTTAAATATGAAATGAATAAAAATGACAAACAAACAAACAATAGCTGTTTAGTCTAGTTTTTGTTTTGTTTTAGTAATACCATTTTCTTTCATTTGTTATTCTCAATTTGTATGCTTTATTTTACGATTGCCTATTGTCATCATTCAATGTTAAAATCAGGTCACTGTTGTAAATGAGTCCCCGGGACTCAATGGGATTAATCTGTATAAATAAACGTTGAATGAATGAATGAATGCCCCCGCTGAGACGCTCCAGACCGGTACAAAAGAAAGTTAAATGTTGGAGCCAGGACAGTGGCCCCATACTGAGAGATTGTTTTGACCGAACAGACTGGCAGGTTTTCAGAGAAGCTGCTGAAAATGGAGGTTCGCTTGATCTTGACCAATACACATCCTCAGTCCTGGGTTACATTAGTACATGTACTGACACAGTCTCCACTATCAGAAATGTTAAAAGCTACCCAAACAGAAAACCTTGGCTGAATGCAGAGGTGCGTACCCTGCTGGAAGCCAGGAACACTGCCTTCAGGTCTGGAAACTCAGAGGAGCTGAGTAGGACAAGAAAAGAGCTGGTTGCTGGTATTAAGAGGGCCAAGGCCACATATGCAAAGAGGATTGAGGGTCAGTTCATCTCACAAGACCCTCGGAGCATGTGGAGGGGCATTAAGTGCATAACAGATTATAAAGGAAGGAGTGAACAATGCCTCAAAGACCCATCTCTGTCTGATGCCCTCAACAAGTTCTATGCACGCTTTGAAGACCCGAACAGACCACCCAGCACCAGACTCACCTCGCCACCGGATGAAGAGCATCTCAGCGTGACCTCAGCAGAAGTAAGGAGTACCTTCAGGAGGATTAATCCGCACAAAGCAACTGGCCCAGACAACATCCCCGGAAAAGTGTTGAAGGAATGTGCTGATCAGCTCTGCGAGGTGCTGGCAGACATCTTTAACACCTCACTTACCCTGGAGACAGTTCCCACCTGCCTGAAGACTGCCACCATCATCCCAGTCCCAAAAAGCTCTACAGTGACTGGTCTGAATGACTATCGGCCAGTGGCCCTCACCCCGATAGTCGCTAAATGCTTCGAAAAACTGGTCATGACTCACATCAAAACAACCATCAACATCAACGAGGACCCTCATCAGTACGCATACCGTGAGAACCGATCAACAGAGGATGCAATCTCCTCTGTGGTCCACACTGCACTCAACCACCTGGAGCAGAAAAACTCTTACGTCCGTATGCTCTTTGTGGACTTCACATCCGCCTTCAACACCATGATCCCCCAAACCCTGATGGACAAACTATCCACACTAGGACTAAGCCCCTCCATCTGCAACTGGGTACTAGACTTTTTAACAAACAGACCACAGTTAGTGAGGATCCACAACCTCTCCTCCTCCACCATAACCCTCAGCACTGGCTCTCCTCAGGGATGTGTGTTGAGCCCCCTTCTGTTTACTCTACTCACATATGATTGTGCAGCTACCCATCCAGGCTGTCACATTGTAAAGTTTGCAGATGATACAGCGGTGGTGGGATGCATCACAAACAATGATGAGTCCAGCTACAGGCAAGAGGTGGAACACCTGGAGAGCTGGTGCAGAGAGAATAACCTTCACATCAATGTGAAGAAGACAAAGGAGATGATTGTGGACTTCAGAAGGAACAAAAATACCTACACCCCCCTGAACATAAGAGGATCTGCGGTGGAAGTGGTCTCCAGCTACAAGTACTTGGGTGTACACATGAATGACAACCTCAGCTGGAGCAACAACACCACCAGCCTGATCAAGAAAGCTCATCAGAGACTCTACTTCCTCAGACGGCTGAGGCGAGCTGGTCTGGGAAGCTCAGTCCTCACCTCCTTCTACAGGTGTGCAGTGGAGAGCATCCTGTGCTCGAGCATCAATGTGTGGCATGGAGGCTGCACAGCTGCAGAAAGAAAAGCTTTGCAGAGAGTGGTGAAGGCTGCACAGAAATCTGTTGGAATCAGTCTCCCCACCATCACAGACATCTACACCTCCAGATGCAGGAAGAGGGCCACCTGCACCATGAAGGACCCCACCCACCCAGCACACACTTTTTGCCCCACTCCCCTCAGGAAGGAGGTTAAGGAGCATTAAGTGTAGAACCACTAGACTGAGGAACAGCTTCTACCCTGAGGCTGTTAGACTCATGAATCTCTAACTAGAATAATCACTGTGAAAAACCATATCATGTTGCTGCTGATCTGTTTCATGTTGCTGCTGATCTGTTTCAATGTTGATGTGTTCATGCGTGCACATCTGCTCACAGACTCATGTTCATGTTTGTGCTGATGTTCAATGTTTTATGTTATGAGTGCTTAGTGTATATTTAGTTCATGTTTTTCTTAGTTCATATCTTAGATGTTATTACTGTTTTTCTTATACATTTTATTGTCGGATGTAACTGGGACCCCATGTACATAATTTCGCTCCACCACATGTACCACATGAGGTGCGAATGACAATAAAGAAACTGTGACTCTGACTCTGACTCTGAATGTAGTACTTTGGATTGAATGCACATATTTAAATGCCATTTGTATTTTTAATTTTTTTCTCAAAAATATATTTTTCAAAAAACAAATAATTTAAAATGAACTCGGTTAATACATAAATTTTATTTATTAACCTATGTAGATAATTTTGGAGGACAGAAATAAATATAACGACTGTCAAGGGAACCCTTTTTTTATAGTCAGGCATATTTGTAGCCACGCCGGGTCCTGAGCCGGGATTTGATAGGGCACGGTTTCGTTGCAGTGCAGTCTCCTTCAGCTCGCCCTCCAACCGGTGACGCCTGCATCTGCTAGTGTTGTGAGGAACATCTCCAATAAAGTCACTTTAGTTGATCACTAGCACCATCTTCATCAGGTAAGACTTTATTACATTTAGTCCGACTCAGTTCAGACTTGTTTAGGACGGAGAATGACGAGTGTTTGTGATGTTTTACACACACCGGCTCTTTATGCTAGCTAGCTGCCTTTACGCAACACCTAACACATGCATTACTAGAACGGTTTATTTTATAACATTGTAGCAGAAAGAGCGCTCATCATTTTAAACCAACCTCAAGAAAACATGAATGGTTTAAAGTTTGAATTTCCTGTAGCTTGGATGTATTGTCAGTAACTCGCCGTCACTCCATTGTGAACAGGCTGACGAGCACACCCTAAACTCATTCGCTGTGACATATGCCACGCCTGGCTGTATTTGATAACTCATGTGTAATAATAATGTATTAAGTGCTAGGCCTGAGAGCAGCGTTCCTGTCTGAAAATGGCTCCTCCCCCTCAGCAACCTTGTCAAACTACATGTACTGGATTGCTTCAGCTTTGCCAGTGCTGTTTAGATTGCAAAGTGAAACTAATTTGGACATCATAAAAGATAACAAACTACCACCTTGGTCTTGTTATCATGTAACCTGATCGTTTTATAGCCCAAAGGGATATGGCAACATACAGAACACTGTTCTCTTGTATTTTTATTGCAATTAACATGTTTGTACTTTTATATGTTCTGTCTGGAACAGGTCCCTCTTGTAAATGAGTCCCCGTGTCTCAATGAGGCTAGCCTGTATAAATGAAGGTTGAATGTTTCTAGATACAGTTAAGAATAGTTGCTGATCCAGACTGAGGTTAATAGATTTGTTTTAAAAGCCTAATAACACCAGATTAAAGTTTATTATCAAGTGTGCAAACCCTTATAACTTACCTTCAAATACTGGTGTCAGACATTTTTTACACATGTAAACTGTTAAATCGTGTTTTGTTTCAGTTGTTGAGTTTATGCATACAGCACACACAACTTGGAACCATTTCTCTTTACCTCCTATTCGCTTTTCACTCGATTATTGTATTTGAAATGTTGATGGAATTACTTTTTTTTTTTCTAAACGTAAAAAATATAAAAAGTTTCACTGTGGCGCTTTATTTCTCTTGGCAGTTACAATGGCCGTGCCTCCCGCTTATGCTGATCTGGGCAAATCTGCCAAAGACATCTTCAGCAAAGGCTTCGGTATGATTTCAGGACTCAGCCTTAATTGATATTTAAACATTGTTTGACATCTTCATCACAAAGCAAATCTTTCCCACAGAATTTGGCTTGGTGAAGCTCGACGTCAAGACAAAGTCAGCCAATGGAGTGGTAAGATTGTTTTTGTGATCCATGTTGTTTGTTGTTAAAATATAAATAATTACACTGGAAATGACTAAACCATTGGGATTTTTGGATACCATAAAAAAATTCCATAAAATATTATAAAATCAACTGTTGTGCCTGTTGAAACTGTCCATACAAAGCCATGTGACTGAGTGTTTTTATTCTTGTCACAAATTACGACATTTTGCAATTTCTTGCTGTTTGAAAAAATATCTTTATCCTCCAAAAAGATTAATTTTAATATTTACAACCTTTACCTCCAATTGTTTTTATAAGATAAGTTATAACTTTATTGATCCCGCAGGAAATTGTTGTGCTAGAGTTTCAGTACAAAGGAATCACACAAGCTATAAAAAATAACAGAGTATAAAAATACCAGCATTATTATCCTGATGCATGCCCAATAATTCAGGTAGAAAAATCTATAAAAAAAAAAAAGTTAAATCTGGTCCTCTGGACATTCAAAAAAACAACAAAAAAATGTAGAAACGTTTCGTCTCGGTTGAAAGACAAAACTTTTCTACATTTTTTTGTTGTTTTTTTGTTGTTTTTTTGAATGTCCAGAGGACCAGATTTAACTTTCTTAGACCAGCATTATTAGTTAGCTTTGAAAAATCTATTGTCTTAAAAAAGATTACCGGTAGTTGCAGTGAAAGTTTCTCAGCACTGTTGCAATTGTTGCTTTAAACACAAAGTTTTAATTTTGATAATGCTTTAATCCCTTGTTATTTCATTCATGCGTTTCTTCTGATTACCACCTCTAAAATTGTCCCTTCAGGAATTCAAAACAACTGGTTCCTCCAACACTGATACCAGCAAAGTTAGCGGCACCCTGGAAACCAAATACAAGAGGCCTGAATACGGTTTGACCTTCACTGAGAAGTGGAATACTGACAACACCTTAGGAACTGAAATCACTGTTGAAGATCAGGTAACTTTTTTTTTTTTACGCAACAGTCAACGCAAGTCAACATTTTGAACCAGATGTGGCACCATTTGTTTCCTTTTAACTTGAACTGGTTCCCATCATTGCTTTGTACAGATTGCAAAGGGACTGAAGTTGACATTTGACACAACCTTCTCACCCAACACTGGGTAAGAAGATGGTTAAAATCTGGATATAACTTCAGGACTGAACAGAGTTACGCTGCACTGTCTGCACCATAAGAAATTATGGCAACCTGATCTTTGCTGCACATGTTTCTGACAAGTGTCCTTGGCAGCCATGTGACTCAAGTCACTGTATATATCTTGTATGCTGCAACACTTCACTGGGATTGCATGTCAGTTTTTACATTTGTGTATCTTCATAGCATTAGTTAAAGAAGAAAAGAACCCATCAATTTTTATGCTCATATTTATTTACAAATCTGAAAGAATTGGTTATAAGTGATGTGATTTACAAGCTGCAAAACCCATTAAAGTGTATAGTTTCAAACTAATTCATGTATGGCTGAAGTCATGTGACAACATAATACAAGTTGTGTTTATTTGTCATATAAGGTTAACACAAGGTTAACAGTACAATGAAATGCTTAGGAAGAGAAGGACTGATTTGATACTTGTTTATAGCTACAGTGTTATGATCAATTACAAATAAGCGTCACAGTTGAGTCAAATGTTTCTTACCAAAACAAAGAAACAGAAGTCCTATTTGTCCAAAATAAGACATTTGAGTCTGTTACATGTTTAAGTTGTCAGCAGGTACGGTCATGGTTTAGGAGAAGGTAAAGACCCACAATAGTTAGTGCAGCAAGATGCGTTGCAAAGAGTTTTGATTTTTATATATAATATTTTATGGTTTAATTGTGTCATATAAATAGATTTTAAAAAGTGCACTTGTTAAACTGAGTAATTACTGTCTGTTTAAATCGAACTTTAAACATGACGTTTTATAACAAGTGTGTTTTCTCATCGACAGCAAAAAGAGCGGCAAAGTTAAGACCGCCTACAAGCGCGAGTACATTAACGTGGGCTGTGATGTCGACTTTGACTTTGCTGGCCCAACGATTCACGGAGCCGCTGTTGTCGGCTATGAGGGATGGCTTGGCGGTTACCAGATGAGCTTCGACACTGCCAAATCCAGAATGATCCAGAACAACTTTGCCATTGGTTACAGGACAGGAGACTTCCATCTACATACCAATGTGTGCGTAGAAAGGATGCTGCTTGCATATTTGATTTTTGTGTTTGCAATGTTTTTCTTTAATAAGACAAATGGTGTTTTGGTACCATGTAGGTGAGTAAGAGTGTTTTCTGTATGTAATTATGTGTGAATGTTGGAGACCATACTGCCTTTTTGCACTGCTAAGTCTGTTTTTTGCATGATGATGAACCACAAAGGTCTGATTAAACAAGAAAAGGAAACTAAAGCCAAGTTTCTGTGGATTACAGTTTGTGGTGACAAAGACAATGCCAAAATGAGAAAACGTTTAACGTATAAAATATGTTTAAATAAGGTGATAGCAATAAAAGTTCTCAAGTATTTTTGGTATTGGATATCTTGTTTCTAGTTGCCTAAAATCCTATTTCTGAACTTTACAGCAATAATGGATCTGAGTTTGGTGGCTCCATCTACCAAAAGGTCAGCAATAAGTTAGAAACGGCCGTCAGCCTGGCATGGAGTGCAGGCAACAACAGCACGAACTTTGGCATCGCAGCCAAATACCAACTGGACAAGGACGCCTCCGTCAGCGTAAGTTCTCCTTTATAGATTTTTGTTTTTAAAGAGTGGAAAATACAACAGAAGTTACTATGAAACAAAGTTTTTTTTGTCACCAGCTGCTAAATGGCACTTTTCTTATTTTTGTGGGTTTTTTTGCTTTTTTTTAGGCTAAAGTGAACAACAATAGCCTTGTTGGTGTGGGATACACTCAAACTCTTAGACCGGGTAAGTAGTTACCTGCAGGTATCAATCTAATCCCTGAACATCATAGTTCAGCTTGAAGCAATAATATACTAATAACTAAATAAGAATGAATAACTAGAAAAATTGCATTTCCTGCGAAAACGCAGTGTGACTGCTTATTGCTGAAGAACTTGCTGAAAAACAGCTGAAATTAGCTAAAAGCATGCTAAATTTTAACTGAAAAGGAAGAACAGGCCTAAATTAGCAGAAGAAAGCAGAAAGAACACAAATTTGCTGAATTAGGTTTAAATAAGCAGAAATGAGCATGAAAATAAGCTTTAAAAAAAGATGAATTAGCAAAAAAAAAAAACCTGAAAAGTAGCTGAAAAGGCAGAAAAAACAAACTGCCAGAAGGAAGTGGAAAGCGCTGACATTAGTTAAAAAAAATATGACATTAGCTGTAAAACTAAAAATAACATAAACCGGCTAACTAGTAGCTGAAATAATTGAAATTAGCAGAAATAATTTTGAAAGGAGAAAAAAAAACTGAAATTAGCAGAAAGAAGTTAATTAAGCTGAAAGTAGCAGAAATTACCACAAAAAAACATGATGAATTTATCCGAAAACAGCTAAATTAGCTAAAAAGTTAGCTGAAAATTTAGAACAAGCTTAAACTACCAGAAGAAAGCAGAAGGAACACATGTTTGCCCATTTAGGCTGAAAGTAGCAAAAATGAGCACAAACAAGTAGAAATTTTCTGGGGGAAAAAGCAGAAATTTGCAAGAAACGGCTAAAAAGTAGCTAAAACGTTAGAAACGATCTTAAATTACCAGAAGGAAGTGGAGAAAGCACAATTGTGCCCAATTAGGTTGAAAGAATCAGAAATGAGTGCAAAAACTGTGGAATTAGTTGAAAAAGCTAAAATTAGCATAAAACAGCTATATAGTAGCTGAAATAGCAGCAAAAGCTGAAACTTGCAAAAATTAGCTAAAAGGAGCAGAACAAGCTGAAATTTGCACAAGCTGAAAGAAGCTGAACCAGAACAAAATGATAAAGGAGCAGTAAAAGATTGTAAACGCATCTAAAGATTTGAATGATGTAAAATGAGCTCAATTCAGTCTTTGAGAAAAAAAATCAGAAAAGGCCAAATATTACAAAAAGCTAAAGTTGCACTAATACCCAAAGTCATAGCAGGATTATCCTGAAAGAGCTGAATGTTTGATTTGTTGAAATAGCTTAAACTGCAGGACAAGAATCGTGCAACAACATAAAAATGCACCGAATAGATCCAGTAACTGCCAGGAATATGGAATAATAAAAATAAACAGGATCAGAATAGCATTCACACAATAAACCAATTCTAGTCAACCTCAGTTTCCACTTGTCTCAGAACCAGTGTGTAAAAGGTAACGTGTGAAGGCTACAGTCGTTCCTTTCATGTGTGCAGGTGTGAAGCTCACTCTCTCCGGTCTGGTTGATGGAAAGAACATCAATGCAGGCGGCCACAAGCTGGGTCTGGGCTTAGAGCTTGAAGCCTAAGGTTTCCTCATGCTACAACGAAGCAGAGAATATCAGAAGAATCAGGCCTTAACGTTATGCTCCACTCAAACTAGCAAAGGGAGACCATGGAGAGATCCATTCAGACGGCGACAGCAACAAACTCTTGAAGTACCACTTCAAGCTGGTGCTTTTATCTCTGGAATATTTGACCTTTTTTGTTGCTTTTCACTTTGTATCTGTTCAATAGCCAGTTGTTGGCATATTATTTATAAACCATGCCATTGTTCTTGTCCATCACTGCCATAATAATTTGAAAACAATACATCTATATGTCACCAACTCTGTGTGGATTTCTTGTGAAAATCCAAGACGCTTCATAATTTTCCCCTTTTAATGTGAGAAGAAAAAAATTGTTTCCTGAGCGTTGTCATACTGTCTGATTTTTACATTTATGAGCACGTGATATTCCTCATCCAACAGTCCTCGTTTCCAAACCTCCTGAATTACACTAAACTTCTGCATCCTTCCTGCTTATGCACCCGAGGACACTCCCAAGGTTCTGCTTTGTCACATGTTGAGGCTGACATTTTAGCAAAGCTGCACACCTTTTCTTAAACGTAACAAGTTTTGGGGTTGCTTGAAGTTATTCTGTAAATTAAAAGATAACTGCACGTTCGCTGGGCCTAAAAGGTTTAGGGTTTGTTTCTTCTGCAGTAGCAAACAACTGAGAGGGAACATAAGCACCAAATCATGCCAAACCAATTGTTTGAAGGAAGTGTACCTTTTTAGTTGCACTCTGAAGCTGCATTCTTGTTGCAGGTGGAGACAGAACCCACAGAGTCTTTAAAATCCTTCTGTGTATGTGTACATTTTCAATAAAGTCTTTGAACTCCACAAATGCCTTCAAGTGTGATGCTGAAGATCCTAGAACTAATAGTTGACATTCTGGATTATTTAATAAATTCTAAAGGACTTTAAACAGAGACCAAAATGTCATATAAGTTGTTTTGAGTTCAGCTGAAATTAACGTTTTAGCTATTGGTTATATATATATTATATATTTTATGAGGACTCATTTACAAGAGAGACCTGTAAAGAACACAGATGAGGTACAGACAACAATAGCGTAACAAAAGCATATAAAATGAAAAGCAAATTAAAGAAATGATCTAAAAACTAAACAATGCAACACTATAAAGCAATGTCTAAGATGTAGCTCTTGAAATTACTATGTTTTTACACAATGAAGCAGATTAATGAAGGTTTACGGTAATTGTAACAGACAAATTTTATTAGTTTTTTTTTTTCAGGAAACTTAAATTTAAAATGCAACAACTGGACATAAATACATTTTGTATGGAGTCCTTTACAGCATCTAGTCTCATCCGGGTCAAGTCAAGTAGGTTTTATTGTCATTCATTCAACCTTTATTTATACAGGGTAATCTCATTGAGCCTCAGGGATTCGTTTACAAGATAGATCTGATTCTAATAAAGAGTGATGACAACAGTGGAGGGCAGCACGGTGGCGCAACTGGTAGAGCTGCTGCCTCTCAGCAAGCAGGTCCCTGGTTCAAACCCCGGTCCAGGGACCCTCTGGGTGGAGTTTGCATGCTCTCTCCGTGCATGCGTGGGTTTTCTCCGGGTACTCCAGTTTCCTCCCACAGACCAATAACATGCATGTTAGGCTGATTGGTAACTCTAAATTTTCCCTAGGTGTGAGTGAGAGAGTGAATGTTTGTTTGTCTCGTTTGTCTCTATGTGTCCCTGTGATGGACTTGCGACCCGTCCAGGGTGTACCCCGCCCCTCGCACAGTGATTGCTGGACATGGGCACGGCGACCCCCGTGACCCAAAATGGAATAAACTGGTAAAGAAAATGGATGGATGGATGGATGGATGGACAACAGTGGACAACAATAGACATTCATAAAGGATGCGTACAAATTTAAAAAAAAAATTAACAAGTGTTTATGGTAATTAAAAGGAAAAGTAGAGGAAAAAAACAGCTAGGTTGTAAGGTGGTGGAGAATAAAACAGGAACATGTCTGCATTTGTTTTTGCCACAAACTTGAAGTCACTTAGAAATTATATGAATGACACAACATCCATCATCTTTACATGCTTCTTCCTTTTTGGAGTTGCGAAGTGTCGCTGGTGCCCATGTCCACCTATCACTGAGTGGAGAGGCGGGGTACACCCTGGACAGGTCTCCAGTCCATCACAGGGACACATGGAGACAAACGAGACAAACAACCATTCGCTCTCTCACTCACACCTAGAGACAATTTAGAGTTACCAAACAGCCTAACATGCATGTTTTTGATCTGTGGGAGGAAACTGGAGTACCTGGAGAAAACTTGCGCATGCACGGAGAGAACATGCAAACTCCACCCAGAAAGGCCCCCTGATCGGGATTTGAGCCAGGGTAACCTGCTCGCTGAGAGGCAGCAGCTCTACCAGCTGCACCACCGTGCTGCTCCATAATAGAATAGAATTCAACTTTATTGTCATTGCACATGTCACAAGTACAAAGCAACGAAATGCAGTTTGCATCCATCCAGAAGTGCTCAGCAAAAAAAAAAGTATATATATTACAATATACAGTTGCTTTGAATATGCTATAAGTATAAATATATACAGGTTATGAGTGTACAGACTATGAACAGGTTATAAATATGAAGGGGTATAAACAAACTATATAAAAGAAAAATATATATAAGTATGTGAGTACTTATGAACAGTACTATGAACAAAACATAATGCAACAAACTACAAAAATAAAATCAGTCAATCCTGTATAACAACTTACTAGCTATTTAAAGGTGGTGGCTGCTGTTCCTCTGTCCTGTTATTCACACACACACACACACACACACACACACACACACACACACACACACAGGTTTGTTTTGCTATCTTTATGGGGCCTTTGCATTGACTTCCATTCATTTTTCATTACTTTCTATAGCCTAACCATGACCTTTATCCATAACCTAACCATTACCAGTACATACCTAACCCTAAACCTAACACATCCTCAATTCACACCTTAGTCCTAAACCTAGCCCCTAACCCACCAACGGGACTTCTTCTTATGGGGCCCGGGCTTTGGGCCCCCATAAGTAGCAGTTGGTCCTCACAATGCAGTATAAGTTGGAAAAATGGGCCTCACAAAGTAGCATAAACAAGGACACACACACACACACACAAACACTATCTTTATGGGGCCTTTGCATTGACTTCCATTCATTTTTCATTCATTTCTATAGCCTAACCATGACCTTTATCCATAACCTAACCATTACCAGTATATACCTAACCCTAAACCTAACACATCCTCAATTCACACCTTAGTCCTAAACCTAGCCCCTAACCCACCAACGGGCCTTCTTCTTATGGGGCCCGGGCTTTGGGCCCCATAAGGAGCAGTTGGTCCTCACAATGCAGTATAAGTTGGAAAAATGGGCCTCACAAAGTATTATAAACAAGGACACACACACACAGAGTCAGGAGTTGAACAGTCTGATGACACAAGGGACAGAGTTTTTCAGTCGTATTCCTTCTTGGAAAGGAGCAGTCTGTCACTGAACGGCTCCTCTGGTTGCTGATGACGGTGTGCAGAGGGTGACAGGCATCATCCATAATGTCCAGCAGTTTGTCCAGAGTTCTCGTCTCTGCTAACGTCTCTGTCATGTTTTAGTTTTAAATGTAAAGGTTAACCCAGAATTTAACCCAAATAGTTCTAGGGTTAACCTTGTTTTTGTTTTTAACTTGGCGTGCCCGTTCCAGGCCCTCAAGGGCCTCTCTGTTCAGCGATGAACAGGCTCATGCAGAACATGAGGGCATGATGAACAGGTTCTTCAGCCACAATCACGTATGTTGAAAAAACATGCAGGCACAGTTTTGAAGTAACTATAAGATTAAGTGTGTTTCCAGTTTCAATAAGCTTGGTGAGGAAGTAATAATACCTGAGTTAAATTAAAATAAAAATTCTTCAGTTATTCTTGAATTAATAATAAATCAACATAAACAAGACTGTTATGCAAATTATATCTTTTTTTTTTAAGGTTTGAGTAAAATATAAAATGGATGCTGTTTGGTTCCATGCAAATGTGACTGATTTTTATTTTATTTAAATAAAAAAAAAAAACTGTTTTAGACACGCACCATGAGAAAACACAAATCATGTCTTTTTATATTGCATTTATTTGTCAGCACGTTAAACAGAAGAAAAACATTTTTATACATTTATTATTTTAGTTTTCAGACATCTTCAAATCATGAGTTGATTTAAGGCTAAAAGCAAAAGATGCTGCAAAATGTCAAAAGAATATTTGTCTTTAAACTGGTCTGCAAAAGAGAAGTTGGTGTGTTGTGTTGCCCTCTGTCATCATTTTTAATGAACTCTTTTTGCAAGCTTCATCTTTAGTCAGCTGATAGTTTTAATACATTTAAAGAGAATTTGTCCATCCTGTTTGTGTGCCCTCATGCATTTCCCCCTCCTGATGTTATTATTGTTCGCCAATCCACTCTTTATTAAGCTTTATCCATTGCAACAACTTTTTATCACTATCCGACCAATCCCCCTCTGCTTCTGTCTTTATTTCTCTCATGCTTGGCATCTTAGCAGCTTTCATGTCAGCCTCACTCAGTTTGCGTCCTTTAAGGTTGTAGAAGTGACTTTAGCTTCTTCTATACATCCTTTGATTTGTGCGAACAGGGTGCTCGGTGTTTCTGCTGGAACCTCTGTGACTTTCTGAGGTGTTCCCGAAACCAAACGGTCGACCTGGTCTTGATCCTGAACACCCCCACTACGCTGATGAGTCTTGTCAGGACGTTCCGACACTTGGTCTTCAGGTTTTGTTTGAACCGTGGTGGAATGTTCTTCCTCAGATTGACTCTCCGTCCTCTGATCTTTCATTCTCTCTGCAGTTGGAGTCTCGTCTGTGTTTCCAGCTTCTCCATGTTCCTCTTGTCCTTTTTCATCCAGACCTTCGCTCTGTAAAAATTCATTCTGAATATTTGCCTCTGTGTTTCCATCATTCTCCGCCTCCTTTTGGTTCCTTTCATCATCTTTACTCTCTCTGGCTGATGCTACTTGAGCCTGCTGACGATCAAACATCTGGTTTCCCTCTTCGTCTCCGCTGTCTTTATGATCACTCTCTTCCTCACTGCCCCCCCTCTCACTTTTACAGTCCGGCTCATCTTTCCCCGCATCGGTCCCCTCTGATCCCGTGTCCTCATACTCTAACATCTCGACTTCTCTGGTGGTCTCTGTGATGATCTCTTCGACGAACTTGTACTGGGGCTCAGCTCGTCTACGTGGGGCCCCCGGTCGGCTGAAGGAGGGGAGGCTGTAGACGGGGGACTGGTGATAGATGTAGGGCAGGGAGGGGTTGGGGTCACACACGGTGGCTAGCCGAGCCTCCTCGCCACATAGAAGTTTCCTACGGGAAGCAAAGAAAAAGTTTATCACTCCAGGACAAATGGTTAGTCAGTTTAACAACAACTCCGCTTCCAAGAAAGTTGGAACATTGTGTAAAATGTAAATAAAAGCATAAATCCATTTTATTCACAATTAAACACTTATTACATGGTTCAACCATGAATTGCACCGTGTAGGAGGAAAAAAAATCATAAGTTTGAATTTGACTCATGTCAAAAGGTTGGGACAGGGTCACATTTCCCACTGTGAACCAACCTCGCTTCTATTAACAACAACGTTGAAACGCCTGAAGATCCGAGGAGACCAGCTGCTGGAGGATTTGGAGGAAAATGTCGTCCAAGGTTTAATGGATGGATAGAAGCACGTTGTAAAACCTTCATAAACTTTTCTGCATTTGCCTTTCTAAATGTGTATGCTTCCCGTGAAGAGGCACTAATGCACCCCCATACCATCAGCGAGGGACTGTACACTGATAAAAAAGAAGATTAGTACTGTGGAATGTGATTTCCTAAAATAATCTCAAATTCTGATTTGTCTGAACAGTTTTCCGATTTGCTTCAGCTCGTTTTCAATAACATTAGGTCCACAGAAGAGAAGCAGAGTTTCTGCATGACGTTCAAATATGACTTCTATGCATCACAGAGCTTTGTAGATTAACTTTGTTGCTTTGTGAAAGTGTTCCTGAGCTCATGCAGTGATGTCCATAATAGAAGCAGACCTGTTTTAAATGCAGCGAGAGCCTCAAGATTACAGACACCAAATATTTCCTTGTCCGTTGAACAAATGTCCCTCGATTCTTGAAATATGATCATAAAAACTGTCAAAGTCTTATTAAATTTTCTGTTAAGAAACATTGTGAAATAGTTCCACTTGTATATTTTTTACAAGACTAGTGAACCTCTGCCCATCTTTATTTCTGATGAATACAGACTAAAATGTTTAAACCAATCCGCTTACTGACCTGTTGCCATTTAACCTAATTAGTTGCAAAATGTCCCTCCATCCTTATCTTATTTGCTTTTAGTCATTTGTTGCCCCTGTTCCAACTATTTTTAAATATGTTGCTGCAATCAAATTCCAAACGACCTTTTTTTCATCATAAATTTGCTAATCATTGACGTGGCTGTCAGGGGCGCAACTACATATTTTTGAGGTGGATGCGAACACATCATCGGCGCCCCCCCCACCCGCTCCTTTTTACTTGCCGCCTCATACAGCTTAGTCATGCACTTAGAAAATACAGTAGTAATATTACAGATTTTTTTAATGTTACATATTATATCAGGTGATCATTTCAATCATAAACAAATAAGAAGTTTTATAAAGTACAAATATATAACAGTAGTGGTACTCAGTCAGTGCTCAACATTTTATGTAGCGGAAATATGACATCTTAACAGCCTGGAGTCCATGTCAGAGTTTTAACATTTATGACATTTAAACTGTTACATTCCGTGACTTTGCATTTGCCCATTTGTCAAGTATAACATCAAATGAAATAGACCGTGCCACACTGTTTTCAATAGAGATCACTGCTAACTGGGACAAGCGATCATTGCTCATATTTGAACGAAGGTATGTTTTGATGAGCTTCAGCTTGCTAAATGATCTCTCTGCAGATGCAACTGTCAGAGGCATGGTTAAAAATACTCTAAGGGCTACTGTCAAATTTGGAAATACCAAATCAAGGTCCTCTTGAATTAGGAAATTTAACTTTTCTAGAGCCTTGTAACCCTTCAGTAGACGGCTTGCTGGGTATATTTCTTGAATGATATCTCTTGAAACATCACAAGTGGTCAGGGCATATGTGGTCACTGATTCCTCCAGCTCAGCTTTTGTCATGTGCTCCATTTTAGTGATGAATTTAAATTTCTCAGACACAAGTTGAAAATTGGAAAACCTCTCAGACAGCTCTTGGAGGAGTGTGTCAACAATAACATTGAAAACCATGCACCTGAAGTGCCTTGTGGGTTCCTTTTCATGATGACCAGTGCATGAATTGTCATCTGGGAAATTCTTTTGCTTCCTAAGTCGTTTCTCTTTGAACTTAGGAGAAGCATCCATTTCGATGGCTATTTTGCTTGCAATGTCAAGTGACTTCTGAAAGCCCTCTTCTCTATATTTGAGCAAAAACTCTTTCAGAGACTCGATTAGCCTAATGGCTGTGTCCATTGACACATCTGCTGCTTGTAGTGCCTTGCTTGCAAAGTTGATCTCACATAACGCCCCGGATAGCTTTTTTTTCTGCCGCTCCATCTTGTTGTCAAGTGCACAATGAGCGGTAGTTCAAGATAAAAAAAAAAAAAAAAAAACGCGCCGAGTGCGTTCTCTTAGGGGCGTGTTCACAGCCACCTGTGTGGGAAGGGAGAGCGATAGGAGGGGAGGTGAAGGAGCAGAGGGGAGGTGAATGAGCAGAGGGGCGCCTAATCAGTGCTGTTCCCCTGTTATTGATCATTTAGAAAATGCCTACTAGAAAAACATTTTTTCTACAGAGGGTTTTGACGCCCCCTGCAGTGCAGCGCCCCTATGCGTTGCATACGCTGCATACCCGCTTTTTGCGCCACTGGTGGCTGTTACCTTGTGAATAAAACTCAGGTTTATGAGAAGCATTTCATTATATTTTTACTTATACAATTTACACAATGTCCCAACTATTTCAGAACTATGGTTGTAAAAATGTAATGTTTTTCTTAACCAACATACAAATGGCAGAACAAAGGCAGAACACAAGTTCTTTATCTTCACTGACGAAAACTGGGAATTTGAATATTTTCAGCACAAACTGCTCTTTGCATATTATGTTGCCATACCTGTAGGACAGTATCTCCACATCCAAAGCCATCTTCACATTTAGCAGGTCCTGGTACTCCCGGAGGTAACCAGACATGTCAAATTTACAACTGATGAGCTCGTTTTCAAGCTCCTTTATTGCATTCTGCAGCAAAAGAGGACATCATTGGACACTGCTTGTATTAAAGCCGCACAAACCTTAAAAAAAGAGCAACTTATACCTGATAGTGAATCAGTTCCTCCTTGTGGCGATCCTCCACATCAAGGAGTTGCTTCTCCAAAGCCTCCCTTGTCCCTTTGGCACAGTCCAGCTCGATGCTTCTGGCCTGCAGGCGCCTCCTGGACTCCTGGATCTCCTGCTGGCTCGCTCTCAGCGCCTCCCTCTTGGCCTCAGCCGCCTCCGTTAATCGCGCAAACTGAGATCGGAACCTCTCCCCTGCAGCGCGCGGGACGTCGGACGCCGCGTGACCCCCCAGCTGTGTCCTGATGTCACGAAGTGCCGCGGTGATGTCAGGATGCCCGAATTCCGCGCGCGGCGCCTGCGCATCCTGGATCTGGTCGCGCATCTCGGACACCTCAGCCTCGTGGCGCGTCTTCAGGAAGTGGACTTCGTCCACGAGGGACTGCGCCTTCTTGTCCAGCTGGAGTTTCGCCTGGTACGCGGCGCTGATGTCTCTCTTCAGCACCACGATGCTGCTCTCGGCGTCCGATCTGCTCTGCGTCTCCCGCGCGTGCTGCCCTCTCGCGCTGGAGAGCTCTTCCTCCAAGTTGCCGTGCTCGATTTCGATCTGATGCATCTGCTGGGTGAGCTCCTGAACCTGGCGCCTCAGCCTCCCGAGCTCCGGTCCATGCTCCTCCACCAAACAGGACGCGGGGTCCGCTCTGCCTCTGAGCTCCTGGATGTCCCTCTCCAGGAGATGGTTGCGGTGCTCCAGCCCGCGCACCTTCTCTATGAAACCCGCGAGGCGCGCGTTCAAGCCCCGCATCACCTCCGTCTCGTTGAATTGCCCAGATGACTGCTGATTGGTGGACCACATCTCTGCAGCATCTACCTCGGCTTGCCTTCTCGATGCAGGTGCCAGATTGTGCAGGAGGGGGGTGCTCGTGGGGTTTTTATACACGCCTCCACGTGCCCGGATCTGCAGAAAGCTGCGTGATGCTGAGATGGTGAAGCATCAGCTGATCTCTTCTTGAGCGCCACATTTAGTCACAGAAAGCAATAATTTTGTCAATCCAAACAATTAAAGGCCTCCAACATTCATTGAAGGGATGCATCCCCTCACCCCCCCCCCACCCCCACCCCCACAAACGACACCCCCACTACGACCCCTACCAACCCTACAAGTCAACTACAGGTCAAACACCAGGAACACG